AGTTGTGTAGTAAAGGTCAGTGGTTTTCAATCCTGGCTGCACGTTAGATTCTTCTTCCACGTCCTACTTCCAGAGCCTTTGATCCAGTTGGTCTGGAGAAGGAAGGTTGAGGATAGGTACCAGCCTACATGAGAACCATCAGTTATTGATAGCATCAAGTGTGCGAACGAGATAACAAGATGTGGATTTCAAAGAGCACATACTGGTAGTTGTGCAGGAGGATGTGTGAAAAAGGCCCCCATCCTCACCAGGAGGAACAGTCAGCAGGCCTGCTGTGAGAGTCCAGGTGAGAAATAACCAGCAGCTTAGTTGAGGTAGGTGTGGAGGGAGTGAAAAGATAGTTGGAAGAGAGCATCTAGAAGGCATGTGGTGATGGGGTGGAAAGAGAAAAGCGTGGTCAGACTGCCACAGAGAAGTCCCATAAGGTAAAGACTGAGTGTCCTTGGATTGGGCACTTAGTAGGCAGCTGCAGCCTGAGAGAGTGACATTTCAGTGGGATGGTGGAGGCCGGATAGCTTTGATTGAAGAACTTGAACCTGTTTTAAGAAGCAGTCAAGTTCATTATGATCAGGGAAACATATAATCCCAGGGACCTAGATGGAGTTCCAGAAATGAAGGGAAAGTGCTGGAAAGGTAGGTTGGGGCCACGTTGTGAGGCCCTTGGGTGCCAGGGGTTGAGCGATTGATAGTGGTGAGATCTAGTTCTCTGCTCTTATCTGACCTTAACTTGAGAAATGAATGGATTAAGATTAAAGGGCAAAACTAGATGGAGCTAAGGCTCATTAGAAGGTCAGTGCCATTTTTTATAGTTCTGATGATATTTAACAGCTATTTTAACAACAGAATGATGAAAATGTGTGGTATTCTCTTTCCCTTGGGGTAATGTGGCCACTGAAAAAAGGTCACAAATAATAGAAAAAATGAGTTTTATTGCTTAATTGTGGATTCAATTTATTTGTGTTTTTCCTAGTTCCAGGGGCCATGTGTTTTCTGAGTTGACTAGTTGACTAGGCCAAGTTTCTCTGTAAGAGTGTGTGTGTGTTTTTTTTTTAAAAGGCTCTGAAATTCTTCCTTGAAAATATTTAACATAAAAAGCCAAAATACATAGACTAGAAAAGGGTAGCTAGTTTAGGCTTGTTTTTGTATTATTTTAGTTTTGTAAAGAAGAACTATTTTGGGCTATGTGTAATGGTTTAAATGAGGGTTTCTCAACCTTGGCACAGTTGACATTTTGAACTGGTTGATGCCTTGGTGTGCCTTGTAGAGTGTTTCGTAGCCTCTCTGGTCTCTACCCACTAGATATTTGTAGCTCCTTTATCCCCCAGTTGTGACAATTGAAAATATCCCCTGACATCACTTGAAGTCCCCAGGGTGGGGGATGGGAGATGGCAAAATCACCCTAGATTGATAACTACTGGTTTAAATAGAGTGTAGTGATTTTATCAGAAAATAACCACTTCCTCCTGCTATAGTATGAATGATTTTATTGAAACTCATGGAATCTGAAAAGCGTTTTATCACCAGAAGACAACTAATGAATGGTTATCAATCCCCTAGTTGAAAATTCATTTTGAAATATTTAAAGAGAAAGAAAAAAGGACTTTACTCGTTGCTCCACCATTCCTTTGCTTACCCCACTTACCCACTCTTTCATTTAGTTTCTGGATCTGTTGGTGTTTACTTTTATAGGGACAGTATTGACTTTTCTCCTGGGACTTTAAGTCCTCAATGCAAAGGATATTAGAATTAGAAAGAGCCCAAATAATACTGCCAGTTTGGACCTGGATGTGAAAATGTGGATTTCATGCAGGGCCTAGATTCTAGTGTTTGTTCACACCCAGTGCCTTCTAACTTTGAGCAAGCCATTTTAATATTTCTGTGCAAATTTTCTTATCTGTACAATGAAGGAGATAATCTATATTACCTGTATGTTTGCTTCAAGTTCTAAACATCTAAGATTGAAATATTTTGATTATTTCTTTGGGTTGGTCTTGACTCCACGATGCATCCTCCAATGTGTGACCAAAATGTGATTTGCAGATTACAGTGATCCATGGACTATGCTGCTCATCTACAATGAGATAAGGACAGAAATGGAGAGTAAACAACGAGAAATGTTTCTTATAATTCAACACAGTAATTCTGTGCCTGTTATGTTTTATCATAAAACATTGGGCTTATATTTTGTCCTAGTTGTTTAAATTTAATTTTTCCAGTAATTCATTTTTATTATATGCTATGAAAGTATCAGTCCATGTCAGATTGGAAGAACAAAAATAAAACAAACTGATCTTTCACCAGAGGTAATTTGAGAAGCACTGTCTTGATGTATAATGGAAAAATTTCTGTTCCTCTCTTCCTACCCTGGCCAGTAAGAGACATACAATAGTATTTTCCTCCTCTGAGGTTTAAATTAAAAGAAGGGCAAGATATTGCCTGTCTGCCATATTAGCAGCATAAAGTTGGTGGCCAATAGAATTTATTACAAAGAAATTTGTCTTATAGAAAATAAGAAGTAGTTATGGACTAAATAAGAGGGTTTTTTGTGATTGTATGTACATGTGTCTTCACATAGCTCTTGGTAATGTCATGCCTTGAGATAATATGCTTATCTTAGAACATGAACCCAAAGAGCAGTGAACATGCCCTTTCTTTGTTTTATTCCCTAAAATCCCTTTACATAAGAACCTACTATTATGCTTGGTATGCTGAAATCTCCATAAATAGCTGATGCTGGTGATGGTAGGCGAGGATGGGAACGGTATGGATTATGCTCACTAAAGAGATTATTACAGACTTTTTTGAGTCTGTTCTGTCATTCAAACTCATGCAACATTTGGGAAAATCTATTATATGGACTCAGGAGTGGTAGATTGACATGTAAACAAGGGCAGTTAAGCAGTGAAGCACTTGACCATTTGACCTTGGTCTTTACATATTGAAATATGGTAGAGGAGCCAGACTTCCAACTGACAGTTACGGTATTTGAAGCAGAAAAACACTGCTGGGTTCCCTGCACTGAGGACCACTTGCTCCAGTACCTTTTATCCCATATTGAGTGGAATGATTCAGAGAGGCCTGTCATACCCCTGGGAACTCCATCCACTTGACCTGGCGTTGTTTGGAGCAGTCTCTTGGCCTGCAGTTCCTTTTTGGGCTATATGGGTTTGTAGTACACTTCTTCTTCCACAGTAAAAAGGCAAGAGCTTTGCCTGCCCTGTTTTAGCAGCATAAAATCGCCCTTTCTTTCAGTTTTTTTTTTTAATCCGGAGGATGAAAATATATAACATATTTGGAAACTCCACTGGCAGACTTGGCAGGCGTTTCATATTTACTTGGACTTAACATGAATTGGATTTGGTCCTCTGATTTCCCCGCCTCCATCTCTTGGAACAAGTCATTTATTATCCGAGTGAGTCTGTGTTAGTGGATCAGACATGCACATGGCACGTCTATTGTAAGTGCGTTTGTTCGGTAAGATTTATGCTAGCCCAAATTGTTTTATATTGGTTTTCATTGTTGAAAATTTACTGTATTCATTCTTGGTTTGGCGTAAGTATTTGTAGTGTGCTCAGGGTTCCTGTGGTTGAACATTTTATCGCTGTAACACTTCATGCAAAGGAAATTAAAAAATATATAGTGAAAGCATTTCCCTAATATGTTTCCAATCAGCTGTGTACTTTAGTAATTTGATTTGTAGGAACTAGAGAGGAGAGTATTACTGAACTCTTTTCAATCATTCATAATTCTCTGGGAATTCAGACCACGGTTCCAAGTTTATGAAAATGTCTATTGAAATTTTCTTAAGTCCTTTATTATTCTATTTTTCTGTTTGTATGTATTAAGAAGTTTTTATTTTCCTTTTTTTTTTTTGTTATTACCATAGCAGTATGTACAAGAATTCAGGGAAGCAGAGGAGTCTCCTCTGTGGATCTTGGACAAAATAAAATAATAAAAAAAAATTGATGTGAATTGAGGTTGATTGGCTTGCCAGAAGTCAGTCATGGGTACAGAGAGGCAGGCCCTTTTATTTCTGCGTTGTCCCATGAGTGTGTTTCTGCTTCTGTACTCTTTAGGCTAAGCAATTGGACTATTACTTTTCAATCCCATTGCCTGCTAGGCTCCTAATAATCTAATCTGCAGGGACAAGAGGCATAGCCAGGTACACTTCCAAAAGTGTAACACACAGGATGGAGGGTGTTATTTGGACAAACTACATCAAGGTCTAGGATGTGATCTTTGCGCCATTATTTCTTTGGCACTTTCTACAGGGTCTCAAGCTAACTGGCTTGATGTCTCTTTTGAGAATCCCTGGTCATTGGCTTCTGGTTTTGCCAATGAATGCGCATGACATCTGTTTTGGCTAGTGAGTGAATTAACATGTGATAATCCATACATTGATAGTTTCAGATTTCCTTAACCTAGTTCACAGCCAAAAAGGAAAATTATATGAAATCATAGCTCCGAGTGCAGCGAGGAAAGACCTAGAAGGTTTCATCTGATGAAGACAGTGGCTTATCAAGACTCTTAGATAGGCGTAGGATTTTGCAATCATTTTCTAGTTTTTAATTTTCTGCTTTTGTTTCCTACCATATTTTAAACTTCCCTCTTGACCTTCAGCAATTTTGAGATCATTTGGGCTTATGTAAAATCCCCTTTCATTGTGGTGTTTTTAGTCCTGGTCTTCCTTATACTTACTAGGCATAAATAAAGTCACAAGGTTATGCATTTTGGCCAAGAGAGCACTTCAATACATGGTTTTTCATTTGAATATATAGTCCATGAGATTAATCTTCTGAATAATCAAAGAATTAATATAAGTGAAAGCCAAGTGGATATTTTAAGAACTTAGTTGTGTTTTGGGGAAAATAGCCAAGGAGTATGATGGTTCCTGTGATCACTAGTCCTGATTTAGAAGATACAACTTCTTTTGACACAAAGATAATGGAAACCCACATTCATTCTTGGCCTGTCTTTCTGCTTCTGTGTTTCCTGTCTAGGTTGTACCTATGAAGGAAATACCTATAACAGCTCCTTCAAGTGGCAGAGTCCTGCAGATCCCTGTGTCCTGCGCCAGTGCCAGGTAAAGTCTAACTATTTCACTCTCTCGTGAAAAGGAATCTGTAAAGTCCTCCTTAGAAGGTCCCTTCAGACAACATAGAACAATACCAAAAAAAGAAAGAAAGAAAGAAACAAAGAAAGAGAAAACAAATGGAAAACCACCTGCATCTTTGTACATATTCATCATGACATTCACTGTAACAAGACAGGTACAGGATGGATAGTGTATAAGACTTACTTCCAGAAACACACAGTGGAAATGTTCACCATTGTTCAATTGTGCCTGGAAAAACTTCTAGAAGATGCATATGTCCTTGGGGAAAATTCATGTCTTCCTGTGAGTCAACTTTAAGCAAAACACAAAAATTCCTGTTAGCAGAAAGAGGTATTATTGTTAGAGGATATATATGTTTTCCTTCTTTGATTTAGGAACGTTTTGAATTGGAGCCAGTCTGCACACTATGTTCAGTCAAAGCAATTAGTGCACTGTAACCTTGGTGACTGCAACCTGACAAATTTAAGAGTCACCAGTTCCCTCTGAAGAGGCCCACTGCGGCTGGTGCTTGCTGAACTCTGAACAGAGCGCTGATGCCACGTGGCTATAATTGTCACAGGTCTTAAACACAGCAAGATAAACTAAAGGGGAAATGAAGAATCTAAATTTTCAAACTCCTTTTTTCATATCTAAAGAAATGCTCTTAAACATGCTCATCTAATGTTGCCATAATTAAAAAATTCTTCTCTGTAGAGAAGATGCTGTTAAATCATTGTACCCCTAGCCCTATTTCACTGTCCAAGACTATGCTTTTGCATTTAAAGTGGAAAGTATGGTTAGCATAATGATGTATATTTCTCTCAGATCTTATCGCAAATGTATTGATATTTCATTTATTGAAATCTGAATTTTATGTATTCATGTTATTATATGGGTATGTTCACTCGTAAGATCTCCAGCTATTTATTCAGTTAAATATTCAGCTTATTTCTATAGTAAATCTAAGTTACTTGTGAAAATAAATAAGAGGTAGAACAGATATAAACAACAGATTAATTGAATCCATAAATATTTGTTGAATGTTTACTCTAGGTTATACATTTAATCAGCTTCATGGAACAAAGAGATGAGAGCAATGAGTTTTAACAATATCAAAAGCCCACATTCATCCTAAAATTTGCAACACCCACCTCCACCCTGCTTCTTGACCGATGAAATTTCCACTCTTTGATAGGGACCCTCTGAAAGCCATGGTTACACTGTCTTTTAGAGAAGGCAACTGCGTGCCCTTTAGAATATATCATAGCATGTTTATACAACAGTTGGAGATCTTGCAAATCCTCAAGTTGCATGGACCAGTGGTGAATTTTCCTACCTTTGGATGAAGACTGTGTTTAAGTTAAATGAAAACTATTACCTGGGTGGGAATACTAAGTATATACACTGAGGTATTATCGACTGTTAACGCTGCAATTTCTACTGCCTATCATGTGAGTCACTAGCCACTCAGCAGGACCCAGAGAGAATGATGCAGAAATATCAAATCATTGTGAAAAGATATCTTAAAAACCAACAGCCCCAGGAGTCAGAAAGTGTTGAACAGCAGAATGGAGCACAGAAAGGAGACGTTACCTGCTAAAGATCAACTTTGCTTTTTCATTTTCCTTCTTTTAAAAAACTTTCCCTAAGCCCTGCTAGTTCATATAAACGTATCATTTCATTCAATAACCATAAAAGCAAAGGTGATTACCTCCGTTAAGGTAATTATAAAAATCTTCTCCTCTACTCAGCCGGCACCTTCCCACTCCTGCTTACTTTCTTCCTTCTTTAAGGCAGGAGACCTCATCTGTGAATGCAGGAAATTACTGTTTACTGGCACCTGTCAGGGAAATCTTCATTTAAGAGGCTCCTGTGCAGAATGACACAATTACCACCTCTCTCTCCAAGCTCTTGACTTCACAGGGCACAGATTCAGTAATAGAGGAGAGAGTACAGTGTAGTAAGTAAAATATGGGCTCTGCTGCTCATAGATCTTGTGATTTAACCTTTCTGAACCTCACTTTCACCCCCCATAACATAAAAACCGTATCTCATAGGGTAGTTGTAAGCAAGAGGAGGCTCTCCTCAAAAACACTTCTGGGAGAGCCTGCATGTGCTGGGTCCAACTCGGTACCAGACGGAACAGCTAGTCTAATGATCTGGCTTATTTCTAATTGAGTTGAAGTCTAGCTCATTTCTTATATCCTCTTACTAAAGGAGTTCTGATGGTGAAAAATTTACCTTTATTTTCCACTTTTAGTTGTTTATTGGAAAAGAACCATCTGAAGATTACAGGCAGGAAATTCATGCTGGGAACTAACCTGAATCCTCCATCTGGATTGCAGATAATAAAGAGAAATTGACCTTGAGCCATAGTTTTTTGCATTGCTTCAGTTGTGTAACTAAAGCTAACTAAAGCACAGATCTTTTTCTGATGTTGTCTATTGTGGTATTTTGGCAGTTGTTTTTTTCTTTCCCAGTGTGATATAGACCATAATATAATAAATTCCACTGGTAGTGGGAGCCTCAGGCCTGACAGATAGACATTGAGGATATGACCTTCCTTGCTGGATTGAGATGATATAGTAGCAGACCGATGAAGAAAATGATCTAGTTGTCAAATTGTTACTTTTTCTTTAGCCGTGCTACCTCTCCCCTCAAAACAAAACTAAACAAACAAATAAACAGACACACAAATCCATTTATAAAATGACTAGAGAATATGGTGAAGATTCTTCAAAAGTCAGCTCTGAAAATTAATTTCAAAATGGTTCAGTTAACATTACAATATTAGAATTCCAAGATCTCTTTGCAAATGAGTCATTTGATTTCATTAAGACCTAAAGTCTCTATTTTGATATACGAGTGTATAATATGAACTTTGTGATAGTTTTATCTAATCTCTTCAGTTGAAGAGATTAAGACCCAGGTTCTATGTGAGGTGGAGTGAAATTTCTAAGATTGCAGAGCTGGTGTGGTTATTTCTAGAAGGGTGCTAAGGGTTTAATCCTCCAGATGCCAGTCTGGGATATTACGCTTGTACTCTGCCTCATAACTAATGGGTTAAAGTATAGTAACAATTACAGAAAACACAGTAAGTGTTGAAAACTTAAAACAATTGAGGATGAACTGTGAGACTCTGTCAGCTACTAACTGACAGCAAGGTTTCAAATACTACATTTAAAAGAAAGAATGAGAAAATCCATGTCACCAGGTTTCGGAAGCATAGGAAGTGTTCCTCGAGCACAGAGGAAGTCACAAATCATGTGAGAGCAGCTTTCAGAGGAACCTGTCTTTGAAGCTGTCCCTGAAGTGTCAGGAAGCAGCCCAGAGAACCAGGCAGCCCAGAATTCGGGCATGGATATTGGACCTGCAGGAGAAAGGGGTTCATCATGGCGGCTGACCTAAAGTGATTCCCGTATAAAAAATAGCCAAGTGTTGAAGGACTCCATGCTAGTGTCATGTCAGATAGAGACAGAGGGCCTGTTATTAAAGTGACCAATGACAATCCTCCAAAGCATGCTTTGAGACCTGGTTTCTGACCTACCTTTGTACCTGCAACAGACCAACCGAGCAAACTTGGACTTTCAAAAAAATAAAAGGATCATGAGGTGGTTCAATTCAATTATTTACCTTTTGGTAAGTTTCATAGCCAGCAGCAGTGCCAATATAGGACTCATTGTCAGCCTAGAAAATCCCACTATTGGAAGAATCAAGACAAGTTGTGGAAGTTTCTTAATCTGACAGTGGTTTGATGTCTACCTATCTTCATTATAACAGACACAATATCAATTCAGCAATCTTTAGACCACAACAATTCTTGTATCCATGTACTCAATAAAAGGCCCCTTTCTCACCTTACACTAAGGAGCCTATAGATATAATTTATGCATAGATTGATTATTATCTTTTATTGTACAGGGTCTTTTCTTATTTACTGAGATGTGTGGTACTACAGAAATGGTTCAGTCTATCACAGCTCCCATGGAGTTAGTCCAGTCTCCAAATCTGCATGAAATTCTGTTTGGTGGGTCAGAATCAAAATGGTACTTTGATCCACTGGAGCCATGGTGTGCCCCTGTTACACAATATGTCCAGAATGAAGCAGACCCTTTTTATCGTGGATAATACAGAGGACATTTTTTTCCATATTGTTTTATTTCTTGCGTTGAGTGTGAAGAAGATAAAATGGCTTGGTAAAAGTAATACAATCAGTACAATCACTCACTTTTCTATGTATATGATTTTGCAGCATACCTGGATATCACTAATTGATTTGATTCTTCTCACAGGGTGCTGCTCTTTAATGAAAATGAAAATGATAGCTAATCATTTCTCCCTGCACTCTGCTTTCTATAACCAATCAGTGTTTTAATGTTTGTGTGTTCTTTATAAAATTTAGATGTGATTCATCATTGAATTACATTTCCAATATTGGTATATGTATGTAAACATGACAGTACAGCCATGGTTTTCATACATGAGTATAAGTAAAATAGTATTTTTCACAGTAAAACAAACGCACAAACAAACAAAAAGAGAAAGACCAAGGACAGGGTAAAGAACTTGTAGTAGAATTTGTACACTGCGTTCGAAAGCGTCAATAGGGTGAGCTGAGGAGATCTGACCTCATTTGTGCCACATGCCTCTGGACCTGACACTCACCCTCACTTTGCACGTTTCATGTCCGGATTCTTCTCCTATTACCTTGGTTACTTTCCAGAAGTAAATAACTCTTCAGTGGGGACTCTGGGCTGACTTTGCTTGTGGTGTTCTGTTTTTCAGGAAGGCGTTGTCACAGAGTCTGAGGTGCGATGTGTTGTTCATTGTAAAAACCCTTCCAAGCACCTGGGAACGTGCTGCCCCACATGTCCAGGTAATATTCCCAGGAAGGGGAAGGCTTCTAGCCTCTCTGAAACAGCACAATACTCTGGAAACCTCTGAGTCCTCTTGAGAATGCATGATATCCCCCTTTCCTGACTGGAATTTTTCTCACTTTACATCTGTGTACCTAATGGGTTTAGAGAGCAAATTTCTTTGCATAGAAATGTCCGGTTGGACTCTCTGGTGAGCCCAGGATGAATGTGATGTGCTGTAGGTCTTGGCATGTGGATACCCCAGGCTCAGGAGGCCTGCTTTCCACTCCACAGGGCCACAGGTAATGCTTATTTTGGAAGGGAAGACTGTGGCTTTCCTTTGCTACCAGAAATGTCTTTTTACTGCTTCAAATTGCAATGTCTTGGCCAGAGCTTGCCTTGGTGATGAGGTGACCAGATGTTTTCTGAAAGCAGGGAGCTGTGTCCCTAAGTGAATTTAGCACAGGGTTTTGTTGGTCTCGGCCTTCAGTGTGGTACAAGTTGGACCCACTGTCTTTTTGGAGGCCCCACTGGCTAGCTGATGGCAAAGGGCTCTCCGCTTCCCAGTGGCTGGAGTGTTGCCTCTTACTTTTCTGAACGGGATTACGAAGGCCTGCTGCCTCTTGTCTTGCCCTTCAGTATGAGCCTGGGGATTCTGAGGTGAGAGATTTTTTCTGATCCCTTAAGCCTCTGGCCTGGACTCACAGATGCTCTGTGTTTTGGGTTTTACTCTGAGTGCTTTTCTCCTCACTGGAGGCGAAACTCACAACTACTCTTTGCTTTTGAGGTTAATCTCCAAAGGGCCTTCTGTGCTGTGGACCTTCCTGGGACATGGTTACGGCAACATGGTGGGACCCCCTGTAAATCTGAGCCCCTGCTCCCTTGGCAGGTGCCTGCCATTCCCCTCCATAGTCTGAAATGTGCCTAGACCTGAGTCCCTCTTGAGGCCTAGTTCTTTCTCATCTTTGAATGACAGTCAGCTCAGTCCCTCTGCACTTCTTCTGACCTTGCTGAGTTCCCTGGACAGTCATTATTAAGCCAAACCTCCTTTTTCATAGTAGGGTTTCTATGAAGTATTATTGGATGAGCCCCAAACTGGCTGAAAGTAACGTAATTCTTTCCATAATCCAATTATTTTGTATCTATCAAACAGAGGTTGCTTGAGTACTTTTTTCTTCTGAACACATTAAATATGCTTTGTATCACATAACCATACTCTTAAATGCCTCAAAGATCTTTATTAAGTTAGAACTGTAGTTTGCTAGGATGCACATTAAAATTACTGGCAAGCTCTAAAAAATAAATCTTGATGCCTAGGTTGCATGCTTCACAGACCAACTCAATCAGGATCTTTGAGGGTGGGACCCAGGCCTCTCAGATAATTCCTGTATACAGCCAAGCTTGAGATTGATAACACAGCTATGTTTTATGCTGCATAGGTTTAAACATTTTCATAGCTCTTAAATATGAATTTGGTTGTGTTGAGTAGACTGTTGCTTTATTGATACAGGATCAGCTCAGCATATATAACATTTCTTCTAAGTCAAGAGAGAGTCATCTTTTTAGGCTGCCTTTGAAACTGTGGGTGCACAAACAGCAGAGTGAATTTATTTTAGCAGTGGAAGTGATCATATTTGAACAATTGCATCTTCCACTTTGTTTTCTGGTTGAGTTCCCAGGAAGGAAAGGCTGAACTCCACAATTGCACATACCGCTGTGGTACATTCTCATGACCATTCAGTGAGGGATGTGGCACTGTCTGCAAATCACAGAGGAAAGGCTTACACCCAGTGAGACTAAGTACCTGCCCGAGTTCCTGGAGTGTTGGCCAAAGCCGGGGTTGTGATATAGCTTCTTCTCTTTCTTGGCCACCATATTGTTCCACCTCTTATATACCATGATAATTGTTCTACTTGCTTCCAGATGCCCTGGGAAGCAAATCTTTAAAAGTTAGCATGCTGGTGCCACACAGTGGTCTCCTGACACCTGGGCAAGCTATGTGCTCTCAGTTATGGGGTCAAAACTCAACTTTGCTCCCTCTCCTTAATTTCAAAGGCCAACTCCTTGGGATGCAAATCAGAATGCTTTGTCTTCGTCTTGGGAGGGAGGACTCAACCAAGTCTATACAGGGACAGACAGGGGCAGTCTTGGGGTATACTTCTTAGTAATTGAGAAGAACTCGCATCTGTCATTGATCATGGGATGCTATTCCACAGAACGACAGACATACAGGCTGTGGTCAGCTTCTCCCTGAGACAGATTTCAGGGCGTTCTTGGTTGTCTGCTCCTTTCTTTCTTCTGACTCTTTGCTCAAGGATGGTGACTTGGGATGGGAACAATTTGCACTGAAGTTTCATTTAAAATTACCTATTTAAGTTATCTAATGAAGGTTGTTGTGGTTAAACGTCTAGCAATCTGTATGACAAACATCTATGAAAGGATTGAAGACGCTTTGCTGGCAGTGTCCTCTGAAAAGAGATGATGAGCAGGTGCCATTGTTAACATTGCTGACATACAGCCACTGGGAGGGGTCCATGTTCGCCAGGTCTTCCCACCTCATGGGAACAGCGAGGAGGTGCTCGATTACAGGTGTGGGTCTCACAAAGGCGTTACAAACACAGTTTCCCTCAGCTGTTCCACTTCAGACTCAGTAGCACTTGTCTCCATGTCTTCCAGTTGAACAAAGGGCCCTGTAACTAGCTTTAAAATAAACAGGCCCAGCAGCCAGATCAGGTGGTTATGGTTAGTGCTTGTTTCTCTTTGTCAGGAACCAGCTGCTTCAAGAGTTTGGTGGGTTCTGTGGATGACTTCAGCTGGCAGGCCTTGAACACTCGCTCCCTGGGGCATGAGTCAGGCTTTCGCAAGAGCCCCCTTTGCTGAGTTTTGGCCACTGGTAGTGCTGCTTCCAGCACTGTCTACGATGTGGAGAATGACCTCAGCGATTCTGGCAAAGCACCCCCTGAGGACGGACCTGAGATAAGAGGCTTTGCCCTTAGCTGACAGTCTTCCCATGGCCGTGTGACATGAGATTCCTGGCCAGCCTGTGCTTCGGGTACTTAGTGAGATCTGTTAACACTAAAACAGTGTCCTGAGCGTCTTCCTGAATAGGAGACACCCCCTGGGCTTTTGGTCCTGTTTTTAGCCAAACCTGGTGGGGCCACAGCACCTTTAGCAGCACATAGTAGGGCTGAAAACGTGTGGTACCTCCTGACCTACCTTTTCCTCTTCCTGCCTTGGTGCCTGACCATCTGTATGGTGTGGCCACTGGGTCGGAGCTGAATTTGAATCCCAGCTGTGCCACCTGCCCTCTGGGTGAGTTACTTCCTCTCTCTGAGACACATCTTCCTCATTTATGGGGTCTGTGACAAGAGTCCCTTCTGGTAGTTTCACTGTGAAGATGGGGTGAGATCAGGGGTGCAGAGGGGCTGGCAGAGGCAGGGCAATTCCCGGGTGTTCCCCAGGTGGCATCCCTTCGCGTCATTTGCTCTTAGCTCATCATTAACCTCGCTCACTAGGTCTTCTTCTGTTTGCTTCCTCCAGCCCCCCTGGGGTTTGGCTCCCGGGCTGTGGGCTGGGTGGTCATGTACGTTCCTCACACTGTGTAGGGCTCACCACCATGCACTGCCTGCTCTTCCTCAGGCTGATCCGGCTTCCAGCTTTGCCTGTGTTTTCTAGCACCTTCGGGTTTCTGGGCCCATGTCAATATTTTGTACTTTTTTTTTTCCACTGTGACACAATCTCGGTTATGGAGGACACTCTGCTAGGTGGAAATGGAGGTGGAGGTGGAGGTGGGTGATGGATGAGCAGTGGATAGAAGAATAGTGTCAAACTGAGTAAAGGCTGCTGCCCTGATTCTAAACTCTTCTTTGCTTTCCAGGCTGTGTGTTTGAGGGTGTGCAGTACCGAGACGGGGAGGACTTCCAGCCGGAAGGAAACAAATGTACCAAGTGCTCCTGTGTCGTAAGTACCGCCTTGAGTGTTCCAAGGGCTTTCCTTTTTGTTAATTGTGGCTGGGACTCACCAAGAGCAGCCCTGACTCTTTATAGTCTGTCTTCCTCTCCCTCCTGATGTGGAACCAGGGGAAAAGCTCATCTTCCCATGGCAGGTTTCTCAGTCTTGGCACTACTGACTTTCTGGGACGGGCTGTTCTTTGTGATGGGGGCTGTGCCATGCATCGGAGGATGTTTAGCGGCACTCACCTCCTGGTTTGTGACAACCAAAAATGTCTGCAGACATTGCCACATGACTCCTGGGGAACAAGGTTGCTCCTGTTGAGAACTACTGGTCTAAAGAATGAGGAAAGAGGCTGATTTTCCTCCACTTGCCTTCTTTGGGAAGACACGGAATCTCTGCTCTTTGGGGGCAGAGAAGCTTCTCGCTGAAGCAGTTGTTGAGTTCTTCTGTGCAGTCAAACGGGAAGCAGATGGGGGCAAGTGCAGCTTGCCTCTGTATTCTGTGGGGTGAGAGAGCCTGATTTGAGGGGTGGTCCATTATATTGTGGGTAATGGACAGGAGGAAGTGCCCCCCAAACTGTGGATTTGGGGCAGAGTAGGGATTAGTGAGACAAAGCCACAGGCTCGCCTTTGCAAGCACTGTGGACTCATAATGCATATACCAAGGATATTTCAGAGTGCTTAAGAATGAAAAAAGGAACTTGGCTTATGTTATAATTTTAAGAGGATCTTTTTTATTTATGTATTTTAAATTTGGAGTAAGATCGTTTGTGGTGATGGTGGTAATGGCAATGATGGAAAACCTAGTCTTAACCAGCTGCTCCAAGGTATTTACAGTAGGGAGTTAGTACAACCATATAGTTTTAAAGCTTTTATCTTTTGTAATAAAGAACATTCAGTATGCATCTCAGAATATTAAAAAATATGGGGAACTCTAGCATCCCAATTTTGCCAAAGTAGAATCATATGTGGATCATCATAAATCATAGCATTTGTCATTTCTCTACATGTGTTTTCTCAAATCTTTCCCCTTCCTACAGCATAAACGCATACCCAACCTAGAGAGTCCACATTGACGTAAATATGTGTGTATATATATATATATAATGTGTAACATGAGGTGTATAATACACTTTATATCATAATAATATATAAAAACACAAAAGTAATTTACTGATGAAGAGGAATATGAGTTTGCATATTCAGATTCAACTTCCATGCTTTTTCTTTCTTGCTAATTATGGTTAAATAGCTCTGTGGTTCTTTTCATGTAAATAATTTCTGTTTGCCATTACATGCTGCCCATTTCTCAACTTTATTTCTTCCATATTGGTAGCTGTAAAGTTGTTTTTTTGTTTGTTTGTTTGTTTTTATGAATCTCATTCTTTTGGGTAGATGAGGAAAAACAAGGCACACCTAAGTAGGAAATTTTAAACCTGCACTGAATGAATTGCCTTTTCCATAAAGGTGTCCCAAGTCTGGGCAGGTGAGCCTTGTTGGGGAGGAAATTTAGAAGGTGACAAGGAAGATGGAAGGTCCTGCAGTTTCACCAGTGACAGTCATACCAGGTTATCCACTGTTGGGGACCAGAGATGAGTTTAGAGATTACATGGACTGGCGTCACAAACTCAAATGCACTCAAGGCATTCAGAGTTCACGTGCTTCTAAACCAGTGCGTGCTGAACAAGACACACTTGCGGGCCAAGGTCAGGCCTGTGGAAATCCTGCTTTCATTTTTGGTTGAGGATATAAAAATCCAAAGATGTTGTTACTTGCCTAAGCTTTCCTGCCTGGTGGGATGTTTCCAGACCTATATCCTATATCATTTTCTATGTCCCATATCTAATTTCTTCCATTCTTATATTCCTAATCCTATATCCTTTCTAACTCTCCATGCTGCCACCCTCAGCACCTAAGGGGTGGCTAATGGCTTTATATTCCTGGCGTCAGTCTTTACCTTGACAGGACAAGCAGAAGAGAGAATGGCACCCACGCTTGCGAGTGGGACATTTGTGAGTAAGCTTGGGCGTGGCGAGGGCCATAAGAGCAGTTTTTCGTTTCGTGAATACAAAAATTTGAGGTGTAAGCTTTCTTTTTTTGCAGCTTGTTATTAAAATAACCTGGTTTTTAATATTTTTTCATTTTGCTACCTTTTGATGTAGCATACGACAAAAATAATGTCTTGGCAGCAAATGGCCTTGTCTTGAGAGTGGTAACTGTGCAGATGTTTGTTTTAGAAGGTAATACTGCACTTGTGTGGCCTGGCCCTGGCACCACGAGGCCCAGAATTTGACAGTGCTGCCTGGCAGCAGGCTTGGAAGCTTTGGCGTGGAAGGTGCTGGAGGACTGAGGTGCTGTCTTGCTGAGTGAGAGGGCAAAGCTGGACCAGGGCCTTGGACAGCACCGGTGGGAGGCCGAACCCATTGAGGAGGTTTCAGGGAGGGGCCTCAGCTGCAGGTTCCCTGTAAAAAGAAGAAGTCTGTGTGTAATAATCTGTTGTGCTTTGGTAAAAAGGAAAAGAGCAATGCCATATAAAGAGAAACACATTTATACCTTTCAGCTTGTATGTGGCATTTGTGTGCATATCTATTCGTGTGCATATATGTCTAGATCAATGTGTGTATATAGCCACACACAAGTTTATAAATCTATATAAAATGCCTATAAATATAAATACAGCCACACACACATACGTGTCTAAGTTTGGATTCCCCCAGAAACAGACCCTGAGACAAGTATTTGCATGGAAGTAGTTTATGTGGGAGAAGGATAAGACTGGCAGAGGAGTGTGGAGATGAGGCGAGGATGGGGAGGCAGCCAGTTGAGGGTACATCACCAAACTAATATCATTGTGTGTGACCAGAGCTCACTCCTGCCAGGCAAAGTCTGGAAACTAGTGGACTATTCGTACCTCAGAATTTCCCAGCTGAAAGTGAGAGAGATGAGATGTGTTTGTACCGACTCCTATCTGTTCCAGGGGGGTGTTGATTGGGTAGCATTTGGAGACTACCACTCAGGTGGTCAAGTGGCCACTAGCAGCCAGAGGAAGAAACACACACAGGTGCTGGCAGTTGGAAGTCTGGCGTGTGCGCTCAAGTGCTAAGGGGGGGAAGATGTGGGTGGGACAGCAATAGTCCACTACAGCATATATGTGTGCACATATATGCACACGGACATATACACATTCACATTTGTGTATCTCAGGATATGTAAGCATATATGAAGTTCTGACAATTAAGTTCTCAAACTCATCCTAGAAAAAGTGCTACATTCCTCATTGCTGAATGTCACTATGGTCACCTTCAAAGTACTCCCCTTGGGAAGCTATGCACTGATGCCAGCACCTAGTCCACCCTTCAAAGCAATTTCGGAACTATTTTTCTGGAAGGCCATTAGAGCTGTTGTCGTATTACTCTTGATGTCCTGAATGTCATCAAAATGTCTTCCTTTCAATATTTCCTTTATCTTCAGGTAAAGGAAGAAGTCATTGGGGGCCAGATCAGGTGAGTAGGGAGGGTGTTCCAATACAGTTATTTGTTTACTGGCTAAAAATTCCCTCACAGACAGTGCCATGTTAGCTGCTGCATTGTCGTGATGCAAAAATCATGAGTTGTTAGCAAAACATTCAGATCGTCTAACTTTTTCATGCAGCCTTTTCAGCACTTCCAAACAGTAAACTTGGTTAACTGTTTGTCTAGTTAGTACAAACTCATAATGAATAATCCCTCTGATGTCAAAAAAGCTTAGCAACATCATTGCAGCAAGTTTGCGAACTTAATTGTCAGACCTTGGTATGTATACATACACACACGCGCGCGCACACACACACACACACACACACACACACACTCATCCACACGTCATTGAAACCCTGGACCACTAGCTCTTTCCTAAACCCATTACTCTCTCTTATGCCTCCAGTCCTTTGCTCATGCTGCTTCCTTGTCTGGAAGGCCTTTCTTCTCTTTCTTTCATATTGCCATCTTGTGATACAGTCCCCTAAAAACCAGTAATGTCTTCTCTTCCGAGCTGTGACAGTTCTGCCCTTTGAAGTTGGCCAGCCACCTCTTGCCAAGGAGAATAGCTACTGTTGGATAGACACCCCACTCGCATGAGATTACTCTCTGCCTGGGAGCACACCCTGTGGAGTTGGGCATGTGGGCAGCAGACCTAGTGATAGTTCCATCTCTGATGGATGAATCGCCAACTCGCCGAGGTGTCCTCCACTCTCCAGTAAATACTGCATCTGCCAGGTGGCTTGTAGTTTATGTCCGACCCCTTTATTGTTACACTCTCCAAGTTTTGAAACTCTGTCTATCCGTGTTTTTGTAATGTGGTGACAGAGGCAGACAACCAGAAAGACATTTCATCCCATTGAGATAAACTTCTTAGATAATGAAACAAATGCCTTACACATGATTCTACATCCTTCATTTAGGTCGGGACAGTATACATGGCATTCCAGACAGTTGAGAGCATGCTAATGTTTGAAGATATCTGCAGAGGATTTCACAATTTCACTCTTACCCATTCCAGAAGCAAAGCGTCTCACAATTTTAGGTGTGAATATCATCATGACTCATGTAAAACAATGCTGTACTATGACTTGTTAAACTGTGTCATCCCCACTTACTCATTATGTAAGTAAGAGAGCCAAGAGCAGTACCTCTCCAGGGTCCCAGTACAATTCAGGGGGGCGAAGACTTGGGTTTCTTTAGCTGTTCCATAGAGTGGTCTGAGTCACATTAGAGTGTGTTGCTCATGGCCTGTGTCCAGCGTGAAGAAGTCCTACACTCATTTTAAAACGGAAAGATGACTCCTAAGACAGAGGAAAGAGTAGTCTGTGCAGTATATTGCTCATTGGTTAAAGCACACATCTGCTTCTCTTTCGTTTAAGCCTGAGTTTTTATTGCCTGCCTAACTGAACAGCAATCAGCTCTCACGCCTTTGTTCAGTCAAATTCTCAGGGACCAGGAGGGTGGCAGTTGGCACAGACATTTCTGTAAA